CCACTACACAACGGATTTTCAGTGTGGACCAGTCTTCTATCAGACGATGCCATCTAGGACTTTCACCGCCAGAGAGGGGAGGCCAGGGCCTGGCTACAAAGCCTCAAAGGACGGGCTGACTGTCTTGTCAGGGGCTAATGCTGCTGCTGACTGTAAGCTGAAGCCAATGCTCATGTACCATTCCAAAAATCCTGGGGCCTCTAAAAATTATGCTAAATCTACTATGGCTGTGCTCTGTCAGTGGAACAACAAAGCCTGGTTGATAGCACATCCACTTACAACATGCTTTACTGAATATCTTAAGCCCATTCTTGAGATCCACTGCTCTGAAAAAAAGATACCTTTCAAGAACAGTACTACTCATTGATAATGCACCTGGTCACCCTAGAGCTCTGACGGAGATTGACAAGGAGATTCATGTTGTTTTCATGCCTGCTAACACAACGTCCATTCTGCAGCCCATGGATCAAGGAGTCATTTTGACTTTTAAGTCTTATTATTTTAAGAAATATATTTCATAAGACTATAGCTGCCACAGATAGTGATTCCTCTGCTGGATCTGGACAGAGGAAACTGAAAACCTTCTGGAAAGGATTCACCATTCTGGATGCCAGTAAGAACATTCGTGATTCATGGGAAGAGTTCAGAATATCAACATGAACAGGAGTTTGGAAGAAGCTGATTCCAACCCTCGTGGATGACTTTGAGGGGTTCATGATGTCAGTGCAAGAAGTCACTGCAAATGTGGTGAAAACAGCAAGAGAACTAGGAACAGATGTGGAGCCTGAAGATGGGACTGAATTGTTTCAATCTCATGACAAAACTTTAACAGATGGGGAGTTGTTTCTTATGGATGAGCAATGAAACTGGATTCTGAGATGGAATCTACTCCTGGTGAAGATGCTGTGAAGATTGTTGGAACGACAACAAAGAATTTAGAATATCCCACAAACTTAACTGATAAAACAGCAGCAGGTTTTGAGAGGACAGACTTCAATTTTGAAAGAAGTTCTGTGGGTAAGATGCTATCAGACAGCATCGCATGCTAGAGAAATCATTCATGATAGGAAGAATCAGTCTATATGGCAAACTTCACTGCTGTCCTATTCTGAGGAATTGCCACAGCCACCCCAGCCTTCAGCAGCCACCAGCCTGTAGGCAAGACCCTCCACCCGCAAAAAGATTACAACTCACCAAAAGCTCAGGTGATGGTTAGCATTTTTTAGCAATAAGGTATTTTTTTTTAAAGATTTTATTTATTTATTTATTTATTTGAGAGAGCACGAAAGAGCGCATGAGAGGGGGGAGGGTCAGAGGGAGAAGCAGACTCCCCTGCTGAGCAGGGAGCCCGATGCGGGACTCGATCCAGGGACTCCAGGATCATGACCCAAGCCGAAGGCAGCCGCCCAACCAACTGAGCCACCCAGGCGCTCCTAGCAATAAGGTATTTTTTTAATTTAGGTATGTGCACGGCTTTTTTTTTAAGACATGTTATTGCACATGTGACCATAGCACAGTGTAAACATAACTTTTATATGCGCTGGGAAACCTAGTAATTCACCTGACTTGCTTTACTGTGGTATCTGCTTCACCGTGGTGGTCTGGAACGGAACCGTGATACCTTGCAGCATGCCTGCACTCACTCCTGTACCGAATCCGAGTCTCCCGCTGGTCTCAACTTTGAGATTACTTCTCCCCGGTAAGCCGCCCCTGTCAGATGCTCCTGAAAAGCCCAGTGTTTCTTTCACTTGCTGCACTGATCACTTCCTATTACATGCACCTGTTCTCTTGTCTGCGTGAATGTGGTGAGGAAAGAAACCGGGCCTCTAAGCTCATCCCTCTCCTACCACTGTCTGGCCTGGTGCCTGGCACAGAGTAAGGCAAGTGCTTCCTGAATAAACAAAGTAATAAATGAATTTCCCTCTGTCAGAATTTCTGAAAGCTCAGTGTCCTAAATGAAATGAAAAAGCCCTACACCAACGTAATACCCCGCACAAAAACTAAGTGATCCGAGACTGTCTGCAGCTACATCAACGACAGAGATCAGACAGCTGCTGGCATGAATACACATACACTGGCTTTTCGGGCAGTGACGGCTAGTACAAGTTAAGGTACCCTCTTTATGTGCTTTCTAAAGTTATTTCCAAATGCAAAGCAAATTCAGGAAATGAAAATGAGCTCTCTTGCTACACAAAACCTTTTGCCGCAATTTCATGGATCATAAGGAAAAACCTATTTGTATGAATATCTAAAGGCGTATCCTCAACATGTATGCAACATATATGTTCTTTGTGATAACACTCCCTGAAAAATGAAGGGAAAATGATTTCTCATTAAAAGCCTCTGAGTTAAAAAAAAATCTATCTAACGGGTACAATTCTCCTTTTAACATCACCACCACTAACGTGGTGAGGGCCCTTCCGGGGATACAATCAACCAAGCACTTTCTCTACTATTCGAAAGCATCTTCTCAGTACAAGCAATGAGATGTTTTAAAATATACTCTTGGAAAGGGATCATCTGTAATAACGGAATTATTCTGTACATGCAAAAACAAAGTTTATTATTAAGTTCAATCAAGAAATCATCTAGGTCTCCTGGCAAGCTGGGAGCCTTTGCTCCATGCTCTCTGATGCAAGAAGGAGAAATGGGGCCAAACACATCTCCGGGAGCCTCCACTCCATCAGCTCTGATGCAAGAAAGAGAAACGGGACCAAACACATCTCTGGGAGCAGTTTCTCTAAGGGCAGCCCTCCCAGCATTTCCCCACATGATGCAGGTAGCTTCAGTGCTATTCCCATTCCCTAAAAAATGAACTGGCGAGATGCATTCGTGTTCCCCCCAAGACAGCACAGCCAAGACAGGAGTGAGGACAGCTTCCCTACCCATTGTGGTTCCCGAGTAAGCTGTCGCCTGTCTACTTTCCAAACCCCAGAAAATGACACAGAAATCCATTAGTCACCACCTTTACTCAGTGTTTTCCTCTGTATCAATGGATATGAGAAAATGATCCCAGCTTAGAAATAATGTTGAGTTTCTCTGTTTTTCTCTTCTAGAAAATGACCCAACAGGACATACCAGACAACAGGCTCAGGAGACATATATTTTCAGAAATGCCCAAATGTTAACAGCTGTGAAAGGCTGTGGTAGAAGCAGCTAATTTCTTTGAAGGAAGAAGAGACAGCACAGGTAGAAGTTGGAAGTAGTGAAATAAGGTTGAGCTTAGAAAGTATTTTGTTCCTAGACAAGTGTACTCCTAAGACACAGCCACTTAAAGACAATGAGGGATGGCGTTCTCGTTTCTTTAACGTTTACACTCTGGTCAGAGACAGACAGACTCTGGCAGCTGCTTCTTATAAGCCAGGAAATATGCTAAGGACTTGACGTAAATGCACATTTAAGCCTTATCACTTTATTACCCGTTTAATCAAGTAATTGACACACAGAATTTCACTATCTAGCCCAAGGTCACACAGCCACCAAATGTGTGCTTACAGTAAAACAACAGTTAAAACGTTTTAAGTGTACTGAATGCTTTCGCGGCTTTAAAATCACTTTGTAGATGTTAGTTATGATCCTTTCACCTAGGGAGACCATGACCAGAGATGAATCACGCAGAGTATTTAAGCGATTTGGAATGCAGTCTATGGCAAATCGAGAATTGTCCAGTGACCCTGATGCTTAAAGGCACAGCGCATGGGACACAAGGTTTAGTCTTCTGTTCAACTGCCAGAAGTTTTACATCTGTGAAAAAATTTATGTTTCTAGAGCAGAATAAAAAAACACACTTGGGAAAACTAATTTAATTGTATATGGGGAGGGACTAAGGAGAAACAGTGTCATTAGAGTTGATTAATCCTCTAATTACAGCGTATGCTAACTCAGGGAAATTGTGGGGCTAGCTACCTGATTTACGACTTTATCATTCAAACGTGCATGAAATGTACAATGTAAGTTAGAATGAGGGTACCCTATTTTAACCAAAGGATTAAACTCTTGCTTAGAGCTCTAGTCTTGACAACAGTCTAACTCATTTCAGTACCCTCAGTGAGCGGAGCAGAACATTTCCCAGCAAAAGGAGGAAAAGCTCCATGTGCCATAACTCCTGGCACTCTAGGACAGTGTCTTCTGGGAGTTAGCCACATTATTTAGTGTTTGGCTAGCAACTGAAAACACAGTCAAAAACCGTCTGGCTTTTTGGAGGAAAAATTAATGAAGTGTTTCATGCACGAGGCAAGAGAGTGTGTCACAAAATATAGGAAAAAGATCCCTCCATGGGACACATTCTGTTGGTGTTGGGTATCTGTTGCTATGGGAGTAGACTCTCCACCATGACACCACACTCACTAGTCAGGGAAGGAAGCTACAAAGAGCTGAAATGTCTCACTTAAGAGTGCTTTCCTGTCTGTCTTTGGCTATTGAGCTCTAGCACTCCAGGCTCATCAAATCCAATATTAACTATTTTGTTCTAATGATTTTCATTCCATACCAGCAAAACCTCTAACCCAAAGCCAGATCAAAACAAAACCAAAACCCAAACAAACACAGGGAAAGCTATTCCAGTTGTAATTCTGCAGGGTCACATCCGCATCTTTGAGAACATGTCATCAGTAGGCACACCAAACAGGCCAGATGTGAAGCAGTGATCATGAAAACGAGGACAAGGTTAATAGAATTATCTATCATGTCTTAATTCTACTGTGGAAGTTAAAAAGATGAGGCCTGCAGTAAGTCATCTCCCTAATGCAGGGCAGCTGCTTCTGTCCCCAACTCTTTTTTTTTTTTTTTTAAGATTTTATTTATTTATTTGAGACAGAGAGAATGAGAGAGAGCATGAAAGGGAGGAGGGTCAGAGGGAGAAGCAGACTCCCTGCCGAGCAGGGAGCCCGATGTGGGACTCGATCCTGGGACTCCAGGATCATGACCTGAGCCGAAGGCAGTCGCTTAACCAACTGAGCCACCCAGGCGCCCTGTCCCCAACTCTTTTAAGATGAGTTGTATCAGGGGACACCAAAGAAGCACCAGAAACACCATAGAGTTTATTTATTTCCTCTGCCTCAGCCTCCTGAATACACGGTCTTTCAGCAAATAATGGATCACTCCCTCCTTGGTGAGCATTAAATCTTTACATTGTGATCTTAAATTGTAATTACTCATAGAAAAATAATCAAGATTTTAAAAATTAAAACAAAAAGGTGGGCTTTCTCAAAGAACAAGCTGCCTTTCCTTGGCAAACATTTAGATCCAATTCAAATAATGTTTCTGAGCATCTTTTATTTGCAAAGGCCCTGTGCTTACGGATGCCAGACATCTAACTTACCCAGCCAGCGGGTCCGAAACCTGCATATAGCTCCATTCATCATTTGCAGATGTAATTCTTTTGGCACATGCTTAACCAACTAAAAATGTATCTGTCTTTCTTTCATGAGCTTGACTTTTTTTTTTTTTTTTTAAGATTTTTTATTTATTTATTTGACAGAGAGAGTGGGGCGGGGAGGGGCAGAGGGAGAGGGAGAAGCAGACTCCACGTTGAGTGCAGAGCCCGATCTCACAACCTCGAGATCATGACCAGAGCCGGACGCTTAACCAACTGAGCCACCCAGGCGCACC